CATTGACCTGTATACATGCTCTCGGGGCAGAGTAGAGCAACTGAACCGGATATCGTATGTACTCTCCAGTGCCTCAGGATATGAACAGCCAAAAGGGAAAAACCAGGACAGCAAAAAACCAAAGGAAATGCTTCAGGGGTGCAGCCCTCCTCAGATGGGGAAATCAGCCACTGGATAAAGAGAGAACAGGTCGCACACACACCTAGTGCATTATCCAAGGTTTATTGTACAGGAGTTTTATGTTTTTATTTTTCAGTCCTTACAATAAACCTTGGATAATGCAGTAGGTGTGTGCGCCACCTTTTTTCTCTTTATAGAGTAGAGCAACTGTACCCATTTGATAAAATCCACGCCCAAGTCAAAAAAGGTGCATCACCTCCCACAGATAAGGCCATTCTACACTGCTGAATGTCGTAGTGGCTTCCAACAATAGAATCACCCTATTGCCCATTATCTGAGGGCAGTTGCAAGTTCAGAAAAAGCCTTTGCAAATTAATGGAAGTAGATCATGTAGGGATAAACCATTACTGGTCTGTGTAAACAAATTTCTTCATTAGTGGGCCTAGCCTATTAACTAGCACTTTTACATGTGAAACAAGTAAGGAGATTGGATGGTACGAGGCTGGGTGAAGCAGGTCTTTCCCTTCCTTGGGCAGGACTATTATGCTAGCATCATTCGTAGATTTAGGATGAGAGTTCCGCTGGAACCTCCAGCAACTCCAGCAGCAATATGTATCAAACACACACGTTCCAAACACACACGTTCCTGCGTTAAAAATGGCTGTGTGTATAAGTGGGGGTTGGAACCGACCAGAATCAGCAGGGGAGAATGTCACCAACATACCAAGGATCACCAATATGGGTCCGAAACTTGTAATGAACGATCACATAGCTACAGTAAGACGTTTCGGAGTCTCGCAGGACCCCTTCATCAAGCATGGGGCCATAAATTATAAGGACACAAATTATAAAATTCATCCGGGAGGCTGCCAATACGCGGAGCTTTGAAATGGGAAATTTTCGCTACAGCCTCAGTAAGTTCCTCGAGGGTCAAAGGGATGTTCAGCTTTAACTTTAACTAGCAGATAAGCACGGTAATTGTGGACAAGCTAGAAAAGATAACAAATGCTCAGGGGAATAGTTGGTTTTAGAAAGGTACAAGTCCTGATAAAACATTCAGAGAGAGTCAACAATGACATTATGAGTAATGTCACCTGTACTGATGTTCAACACTCCCACATACATTTGTGGGTTTTGGGAATTCACTACAACTGCTAGTAAGTGGCCTGTTCTTTCCCCTTCCTCCAAGTACTGACATTGTACAGTAAATCTCTTAGATTCTGCTTTATAGAGGGCCGTTTGTTGAGTAACTAGGCATCTTTTCACCGTCTCAGTCGGTCAGGGGTCAGTCTTGTAAATACTGCAGCTGCAGGGTATGTACTTTCTCAGTTAAAATGTGTTCTCATTGCTGTATGGACCACTTAAAACTGCTAATGGCCTTAATTAACAGCCCCCGTAGATACGCCTTCATCACACCCCAGACCAAAAGGGTCGAGGAGGATGATTTGTTTATCCGAAAGAATTCCACAATGGAATACAGTGGTACATGGTATACAACTAGTCTCTCTGATGCCCTAGCCCAGCCATGGGCAAACTACGGCCCGCAGGCCGTATACGGCCCGGCGGACCTTTTAATCTGGCCCGCGGAGCTAGGCTCCTCTCACAGTCCGCCCTGAAGACCGGTGTAGCATAAAAATCTGTCTCCTATCAGGATCTGTCCTCCTCGACGTATCTGCGCATGTGCCGCAGATCGCCGATCGGCTGCTAATGCCTGAAACTGGCACATGCGCAGATACGTCGAGGGGGACAGATCCTCATAGGAGACAGATTTTCATGCTACACCGGAACGGCGCGGGAACACGGCGAGAGGAACGCGCGGAGCAAAGGTAAGTGAATTGACACAGGGGGGACTTAATATGGGGGATGAATTAATATGGGGAATTAATTACTATATGGGGGATGAATTACTATATGGGGGATGAATTACTATATGGGGGATTAATTACTATATGGGGGATTAATTACTTACTATGGGGGAATATTACTATACTTACTATGGATGACACATACACATCATTCACCTACTCTTGGTCCGGCCCCCGGGTCCAATATATGAACCCATTGCGGCCCTCAAGTCAAAACGTTTGCCCACCCCTGCCCTAGCCTCTCCAGAGGTTAGTGATCAGAGAGGCAGGCCCTCTTGAACAGTGAGATTAACACTTAATGTAAGGGAGCATTGAATCTGTTCCCAGTGCCAGGTCTATGCAGGAGAGGAAAGATGAGTGTTAGAACAGCACAAATATTGACAAGAAGAGAGATGTTGTATTCTACAAATGTCGATCAGTCCCATCTCACATAGCTGGAAAGGAGTCTCATTAGGAGGACTGGTGGTATGTCTATCCATCGACAGGTCAAGGACTGTATTAAAGTTCCCCACTGGCAAGAAAGGAACATTCAAGTGCCATTCCGGAAATTAGCCTGAATCTTCAGTACTTCTGTTATAGAGGGGGAATGTAAATAAAGCCTATTACACACTGAAGAGAATCAACAGTGAACAATAATAAAACATATCCTAGCCTGCGGGTCTATCACAGCCTGGCTTCAAGAAAAGCACACTAGTCCCTCTGGCATAGTTGGAGTACACAGAATGATACTGGGTTGGATAAGCTCTACTCTTAGGGAGGTCTACAGTCTCCATCAAATGGGTTTCCTGCAGACAGACCACTAAGGAATATATTTTAATTTATATTTTTTGGTACCTGGAGTTCAGCTTTAAAAGGTAAAGTGTGTATCTGTATTCCATGCACATTATGGAGCTCAGTGTCAGAATGTAATCATTTGCATATAGTGTAGTGTTCACTTTCTGATCAGAGGGTATTTTTTAATTACTTTTATTTTTTTAAATCTTTTTCAGTCTGTATCCAACCGTGCTTTTTTTTTTTTTCTTTTAACAAAATGAGAACATTTCTCTTCTTTGCCACCTTAGAAACAGAATCTGAACAGGTTTTTCCAAAGTCATTGCTTGTTCCTGTACTTTCCCATTTCCTCTCCCATATGCCTACACAAGCAATCAATGTGTTACATAGAAGGCAATATTCCTATCAATGTCTCCTTACTGTGTACTGCATTGGAAATTTTATACTTGGTAAGGGACTTGCACATATAAAAGAATGTCTAAGAATAGTCATGTGATTACAATAAAAGGAACCTCTCCCCAGGCAATCATGCTCTGAGATTTAATTGAACAAATCTGTCATCGGATGACTGACATGTAGTTATCACCAATAGCCGTACAATAAAGTTGCAGCACCGAATACTTCACCAGCTGTCTAACAAACAGTATTACAATGAATAAATCTCCAAGCACAAAAAGGTAGCAGAAATTTATTTACAAGAAAGTTAAAGATATTCTTTCACACAGTCGTTTGCAGTGTATAAAATAAAAGTATGTATTTACAGTTCTACAGTTGTGTAATTTCCAGTACAGCTAGTTACAATATATACAGCACAGTACTGTACACCAGAGTCAATCCACCTAAAATAAATATTTCAGTTTTTGCCAGATACAGAAAAATTAAACCACCTGACAATCTACTATGTATATTGATGATTCTACTCAAAAAAAAAACAACAAAAAACAAAAAAAACTCGGTGCTCCCTCTGTCCCTGTGTTCAATCTGCAAACTAGATTTTTTTTTTTTTTTTATATTTTATGGAGAGTGCAACACTGGAAAAACAATGCTGAATACCCAAAACTCATGTATAAGAGATCTCACTGCTGAAGTATCTGAGACATCTAGCTATCCACATGCTGAACCATGATGGCCTTGCAACTGTAGAATTTTGTTGGAATGTTCATATGAGAAAGTATACAAATCGCTTGTCCAACCATTTGGTGTTGCCTTCATGGACCCAACTAATTTCAAACGACCTTTTGTTTGTATACCATGTCCAATTTACAGGAACGATTGACATTTCTTGCTAAAGCTACTTCTGGATTAACTTTGACAGGTGCATGTGCACAATTTCTCTCAGATGGAAGCCAACTCAACCATTAGAAAGTTGTTCCAATTCAATTAAATGTTTCCATCCTTGTCCTTTGATTTTTTTTTTTTTCGCTCACCAAAGATGAAACAGATTTTGGTATTATCCCATTTAACTCTTAGATAATCTAATAAACATTCTGAAAATGACAACTTTCAAACAAAATGCTACAGGTTTAAGGCCAGCTTTAGTCCACAGGGACAAACATTTTCACAATACAAAAAAAATTCCCGAAAGTATCATGTGGTACTAAAGAATTTTTACATTTATAGGTCAAAATGAATCTAGTATCATTGTTATACCCTACCAATATTCTGAGCGATTAGCTTATAAAATTTTTAAATTTCAATCACTCACAAAGGATTTTTTTTTTATTATAGAATATATACAACTTAAAAAGCTCTTTGAAAAGTTTTCCCAGTTTTAGTAACTCTGGAAAAGCGGTTTTGTTGTACGTGTATAAGCATAAAAAAAGTAACACAAAATTTAACTGTAGGCCTGTGAGACCCAGTTGTAAGGTACTGAACACTGAGATTTGAAAACACAGCATCCATGCAATAGAGAAAATCTCATATAAAACCTAACATTTAAAAGAAAAAAGTTTAAAAATTGTAGTTTATGCTTATAGAAGCATTCACCATTTAAAACATTTTCCAATAAAAGTGGAGTTTTAAATAAGATTTTTTTGGGGAGGTTTGGTGTCCTCAAATGTCAAAGTATTCAATACCTAGCAATAGTTCATTAGGAGAAGGTACACAACCACTTAAGATATTTTTTTGGAGAGTTAATAAGATTGTCTGGTAAAATGAAGACAACAGAATTCCTGCTGATGACGTCAGTCTGATGAAGCGGCACAACCTGCAGCACTGTAATAGTTCTGTAAATGTAAAAGCTTCTCATTTGTCCTCTTTCACTTTAGTTTTTCTGTACACCATCTCTCTGAAGCTGGACAGGATTTTGTTTTCCCTCTTCCGCCTCTCTTCTTGGTTGAATGAAGCCAGCGCCCTCTTCTCATCTGCACTGTAAATCTGGTTCTCCTTACGCAGACGGACAGCTTCCATACGGCGATGTCTAAACAAACACATTATCATGTTAGCATATAGAAGAGAGGCAAAATTATTTCCCTAATCTCAAGGTTTTTTTACCTTCATGCATTGTATGCACAATGAAAAAAAAAAAAAAAAAACCATTATGTGCGTAGCAGCCCCCGTCTTGATCCAGCAATATCCATGAGAGCCTTAGTTCTCAGTGGACTCTTACTCCTGATTGGCTGAGGCAGGAGTGGGAGCCATCGGCTCCTGCTGCTGTCAATCCCAGACACTAAGGCAATCATGAGAGGTAGGGAGAGGGACACAGCCACAGCTCCTCAGGTGTCCCCACAGCAAGCTGTTTGCTATGGGGGCACTTGACAGGAGTGCCAGCGGGGGGGGACCCAAGAAGAGGAGGATTCGGGCTGCTCTGTGAAAAACCCCTGCACAGAGCAGGTAAGTATGACAGGTTTGTTATTTTTAAGAAAAATAAAAGAACTTTAGTATCACTTTAAGATGTTTTAACTTTATTTCATTCTCTGCATTAAGAGAAAAAACCTTCGGTGATTAGGATCTTAAGATCCCCCCAGCCCCCCTTATACTTACCTGAGCCAGATCTCGATCCAGTGATAGCTCTCGTTCTCCCTCTCCCCTCTCAGGACAGAGAGGAAGCAGCAGGAGCCAAAGGATGTCAAACAAATTTCATGATGAGGGAGTGGGGGGCAAGACTTAGCCGCACTTCCTGCATCTATGGATGCAGTCACCGCGACTCGGGATCGAGCCCGCATGAGTAGCCCCATAAGAAGTTTCTTCCTATGGGGGTACTCGACAAATAGGAGGAGACAGGAGCGCCAGCAGGGGACCCCAGAAGAGGAGGTTCGGCTCTGTGCAAAACCATTGCACAGAGCAGGTAAGTACGACATGTTCGGTATTCAAAAAAAAACCCCCACAAAGCTTTAAAATCACTAAGCTTTCTGAGAATGTGATGAAATGCAGCAATGATGCTTGTGAAAGAATCTGTACAAAGTACAGGAACTCTGAAAATGACGGCCAGGCAGGAGCTTTATACACTCACCGGCCACTTGGTTAGGTACACCTTGCTAGCACCAAAAAAATATCCCCCACACCACCACCAGCCTGAACCGTTGATACAAGGCAGGATGGATCCATGCTTTCATGTTGTTTATGCCAAATTCTGACCCTACCATCTGAATGTCTCAGCAAGCAGTCTGCTCATTCTTCTCTGACCTCAACATCAACAAGGCATTTTTGTCCACACAACTGTCGTTCACTGGATATTTTCTCTTTCTCAGACCAGTCTCTGTAAAGATGGTTTTGTAGACCAGCAGTTTTTGAAACACTCAGACCAGCCCGTCTGACACCAACAACCATGCCCCGTTCAAAGTCGATTAAATCCCCTTTATTCCCCATTCAGATGCTCACTTTGAACGTCAGCAAGTTGTCTTCACCATGTCTTGATTCCTAAATGCATTTAGCTGCTGCCATGTGATTGGCTGATTAGCAATTTGTGTTACCAAGCAATTGAACAGGTGTACCTAATAAAAGTGGCCGATGAGTGTATATTTACTGTATTTATAATCATCTTTTATGTATTTTTTTTTTTAATCAGTCAGTACACCTAATCACCGCCACACCAGTCGCAGTGTACTTGATCACTGCCATACCAGTTAGGCCCCTTTCACATGGCCGGCTTGGTATGGGGCCGCTGTATTCCTGTGGCAATAATCTGCGGATTCTTGCTGCTGGAAAGACAAGGTAATGCGAAAGGGAGCTTTACAGTGTCCCCGATCCTAACCACTCCAGTCACAGTGTCCCTGATCCCCGCCACACCAGTCACAGTGTCCCTGATCCCCGCCACACAGTCACAGTGTCCCTGATCCCCGCCACACCAGTCACAGTGTCCCTGATCCCCGCCACACCAGTCACAGTGTCCCTGATCCCCGCCACACAGTCAGTGTCCCTGAGTCACAGTGTCCCTGATCCCCGCCACACCAGTCAGTGTCCCTGATCCCCGCCACACCAGTCACAGTGTCCCTGATCCCCGCCACACCCAGTCCAGTGTCCCTGATCCCCGCCACACCAGTCACAGTGTCCCTGATCCCCGCCACACCAGTCACAGTGTCCCTGATCCCCGCCACACCAGTCACAGTGTCCCTGATCCCCGCCACACCAGTCACAGTGTCCCTGATCCCCGCCACACCAGTCACAGTGTCCCTGATCCCCGCCACACCAGTCACAGTGTCCCTGATCCCTGACACAGCGTCACCATAAGGACTTGTTCACAAGCGTGATACTCTCTGAAGAGCCATCCATATTCAGATCGCTTCTCAGAGAGCATTTAACAAGCAGTGAGAAGGCATTGTATTGCCTCCTCACCATCTGCTCTAAGCCCTTGAACCCCGCACAAGCAGCCCTATTCATTTGAATGGGTCATGATCAGCGTGAGTACAGGGGGTATAATGCCTGCCACAGCTCCGAAGCAAAAGCATCGCAGCCACGGCACATACTAATACTGGCCTATTTATTGACCATGATTCTGCCTGTTGCCTGGACCGATCCTTTGACTGTTTGCTGGCCACGTCTCTGCCTGTGCCTGAACTCACCCGATGATCTGCGCATCTCGCCAAATTCCAGTCCCAGCCATCCCCTACAGACAACTGCACTCCTGAAACCACAGAAACTCTTTTGTTCTTCCTTTCTTTAGCCTTCTGTACTTCCTGGCCAGTGAACATGGCATTCCTTGGGGCAGCCAAGTACCAGTAGGCTAGGCTTGCTCGGCTCATAGAAACAGGGACTGCTAGGTGACGCTACACTAAGCTATATACCCTGACCACTCACAAAGAGGCGACCATTCATGTACATGGGGTCATTTTGTGCATGTTTCCACTATCCTGGTGCTCCAGGGCCTCCAAAACCATGATAGGCAGTCAGGAAATTAGACGTGTAATTTATGCATCTTGAAAGCCCAAAGGTGATCCTTGGAGTTTTGTGTCCTTCTATGCATCTAGGCTGCGTAAAAGTCTTACACATGTGGTATACCAATACTCGGGAGGCATAGCAGAATGTGTTTTGGGGTGTAATTCTACATATACCTATGCTGTGTGTTTGACATAATTTGGTAAAATGACAACTTTGAAGAAACTAAATAAATTCACATTTTCCAAAAAATTGTGGCAAAAAACTTAAAAAAAAAAAAAAAATCACCAGAAGCGCTGGTGGGGGCCCCACATTTGATTTCCATTGGTGGCTACAATTATTGTCTGTCCCGACCAATAACCGATGGCCGACTGAGCAGTGTTACACTCACCCACCCACCTTCATTCCTATTGTGTTACGGAAATTGCAATTTTTGAAACAGCCCTGCAGTGACAGGAAGTGATGTGGGGGATTCTCTAATACCTCTTCCTGTAGCCCAGGAATACCTATGGTATCTAGTACAGAGTGATGAGGTAACTGGCTGTTACAAAATAATTTACTAACAATCTAGGTTATTTTGAAGAATAAAAGATTCACATTTGCAATGTGTTAATGGACAGGAACAACAGTCAAGATTAGTAACCTGGCTGGAGTTCAGCTTTAAATGAGAATATCTCTGGAGACTGGTTCATACAGAGCAATGTATGGACAAATTACAGAAGCAGTTGCTGTATAGGTCAGTAGGTTAAACAGCATCAAAGTACTTTTTTTTTATTAAGTGTATAAAAGCATCCCAGATGATGGTAAAACACCAAAGGCCAATTTGTTTTCAACATTGGCCATTTTTTTGGGTGTACATTTCGGCCCATTTTTGGGCTGAACTTTTAAATTTTTTTCTTTTTAAACCCCCCTTTAAAATAAAAAACAAATCCTTTTGAACCTTCAGCTTTTTTTGGGGAGTTTTAAACCCAAATCGGTGTGGTGAGGAAAAAACATTTTGCTAAGTGCCTCCCACTTGAAGGGAAAACAATCAATTGCTTTTTAATGACTTGGCACCAAACATTTTTACTTTATGGAAAAAAACCTTTGGCAAAGTTGTTCCCCTTTATTCTCAAAAGATTTAAAAGTCCAAAATGGTAAAAAAAGGTTTTAATATGGTTTTCAAAATAAGCAATGGGGGAGGGAAATCCCCTTCCCAAGCCCTAAAATGTTTCCCCTTAAAATGCCTAAAATTGTTTAAATTGGGGCCACTTAATCTTAACCATTTAAAACAGTAAAAAAAATTCCAAGAAAATATAACTAGAAACCAAAAAACTTTTGGTTTTTTCTGAATCCCACGAAGTAATGAAATTCAGCTTTATTCCTTTTTTAATTAAAATGTTTTTAAAGTTTTAAAAAAACCCCCAAAAAGGGGTTTTCATTTAAATTTGTTTTCTTACAAAAAAATTTGGGAAAATAAGACAAGTAAAAAAAAAAAAAAATCAAAATTTCGGCGGGGTTATCAAAATTGGCTTTATATTTTACAATGTGTAATGGGTTGGTTTTATAATTGATTACCAGGTTGGCTTTAGGGCAAATTTTAAAAGAAAAAAGATTTTAAAAAGGTATTTAAAATATAATTTATACTTAAATTTAATCCTTTTTTTAAAACCTTAAAAAACCGGGTTGTCATCAATATCATTGTATTTACAGGTTAAGGGGGGTAAAAAGTAGGGGAAACCACTACCCTTTCTGGTAAAAGTATTTAAAACCTATTTACATGAAATTTTCCAAAACTTAAAAAAAACCCATGCAATCCTCTTTAAAAAAGAAACCAAAACAAATACATTCGAAATTAAAATTTTAATAAAATTGGAAAAACCCGGGGAAAAAGTATTCAATTTGAAAAAAATGCCAAAACATAAAGCCCGCCAGCTGAAAAAAAGCCGAAAATTTTGGGGTTTTTTTTTTGCCATTCCATACCCTTTTGTTAGGTAAATAGGTTTTAAAAAGGTTAACAAAAAAAATCTTGGGGTAAAAAAAAGGTCTTCCCCTTACAAATTTTTGTTGCCAAAATATATATTTTTTAAAATTTCAAAAATTTTTAATTTATAATAGGGGAAATAAATCAGGGGGAAAAAACTCTTTCCCCAATCCTTTTCCCCGGGGTTTGAAGATTTTACGAGGAATGAAAAAATTATAAAGATTTCCAAGACTAAAGGATGTGGAAGTTGAAAATTTTATTTTGGGTATAATTGTTTTAAAGAAAACTTTTTTTGGGGACCTCAAACCGCTCCCTTTGTGTTAATAAATTATGCAAAAAAAAAATTTTATTTTATTTTTGAAATTTTTGGGTGATTACATTTAGCAACCCGGAAAATATGGGGGAATATATTTTGGGATGAAAAAAATTAATTTTTTTTTATAAAATTTTCATTTTGGAGGAAAAGGGATACTCACCCCAAAAAACCACCCTATAAGTTAAAGGGTATTCTTTTTTTCCCATTTTTCATTATGGGGTAAACTTCATGTCGTTGGAACGAAGATGAATGAAAAAATGTTCAAGACATTCTTGTAAAAAATCTGTCATTACCAGGTGATGAAGATAAAACCCGGGGGTGGACATTTCGAAAGAAAAACAAAAGCCAAGGAAAATCAACGGGGTTCAAAAAAAAAAAAAGCTGTAGAATAGCCCCAGCAATCAATGATTTAAATCCAAAAAAAAAATCCACAGAAAGAATAAAGATAGATTTATAGAGAACCCAAACGGAACCTCAGATTTAAAGCCCGTTTTTTGGGGGAAGAGGGGCCAAAAACCCATACCTGTAAATCATGCGAATAGTTTCCCCCAACGGAGGTTAAAAGAGTAGGTTCACCTTTTGGAACAAGTTACATGTTTCACCCATATTTGGGGTGGAACATGTAACATGTTCCAACAGCTGCAGCCTCTCCCCCCTCCCTGTCACAGTGGGTGGGGGTTCTTCTCTCCGTGCCCACTGTCATAATTGAAACTAAAACTAGGCCATGCGGGGCTCCGCCCACAGGAACCACATCATTCATTCAGTTGAATGAATTTAGTTGAATTAATTCATTCAGTAAATTAATGCCCACATGTACCATCCGCCTTAATGCTAATTTTTTTTTACCTGCAAAAAAAAACAAAAAACGTGCATTTAACTTTTTTCTTAAAAAAAAAAACACACAAAACAAAAAACAGTGCAGTGTACCCACAGTTTTTGTGAAGGGTTACCAACGTTTTGCCATAGACTTCAATTAAATTGGAGGTTTTGGTGTTTTTTCTGAAAGCACATCATAAGTTCCATGCTGCAGGGAAAACTGCACCACACCAGTGTGAAAGTGCCCTAATACAGATATTAGGTCTTTCATCAGGTTATATTCCCTGTACAGCACTCAGAGAAGTAGGATCAGCATTGTTAGTTTATAGTGGTGTGCTATAATCTCAGTATGAAAGCTTGTGTACATGGACATCTGACTTACAAGCAAGTCAAATCAGAGGATGCACCATTGTGTTTCAGATGCCTTTTTTTGTATTACTTTTCACTTTCATAGAAGAGTAAAGGCAGCAGAATAAAAAAAAGTAAAACAAAAAAAACCTGCTCGATGCATTGGTCATGACTTTGTGATTAAAGTGTTGTAAACCTGAAAAATAAAAAAAAACTCAGCAGTTTACCTGGGTTAAACATCGGAAGCCATCTGTCCCCAGTCTTGCAAAGAAAGGTGAATCCAGCATTGTTAAATCCTCTCACTTTCTTGCAGAGTTAAAAAGAAAAAATATGTGTCGTCACACCCCTGCTCCTGTGACTGACAGACTATGTAGTTATCTCATGCACGAGCATGGGAGAAGGGGAGCGTGTCCAGCATTTCAGCAACAGATCGCTCCCCCTACCTCCTTCGGCTCACTAACGATTGGCTGCTCCGCGCCTCAGCATTATTGGCCATGCTGAAGTCAGGTGGTGCCTTCCATGAGTTCCGATTGGTCAGTACTTATGAGGGGGCATGACCAGCCACCAGGCGTTTGCGCTGTCCCATTGCCAGGGGGTGTGTTGAGATGGGAGGAGAGTCCAGTGAGGTCACAATTCCACCTCCCGAGCTCTGGCATGCAGACACGCCCACTGATTGGCGATATTCTGAGGGCTCAGACAGGCGCATGGGATAAAAATTTTAAGATAAAAGTACAGCGAGTGCTTTTGCAATGTGGACACATTAATATGGTGCCTTTTCTTTTATGTTGCATGCACTGCAGGTTTACCACCACTGTAAAGTAAACTCAACTTCAGTTGAAAAAAAAAACTAAAAACCCTACGCTGGTGCTGGTAGTCAGCTGGATTGCATAAGGGAAACACCATGATGCTGATCCAAGCATCCAAGGTCACCCCAGCATTCAGTGAAGTGACCTTCACCTCCATCCATCCCTCGTTTCCCACCTTGTGCCATGCTGCTGCTGTGGTGAAAACTGCAAGATGGGAGATTGAGGACTCTTATGTGAAATCATTTCTTTCCGAGTGTTTTTTCATTACAATTTTATTTATAAACCTGATTTTTGTTGGGCCCATAAATATTTGTAAAGTATATGATGTAGCCCTCATACTAAAATGTTTGGAAACCCATTCTCTAGATTCTGAGCAAGGTCCCAAAGAAAATGCGTTCATTTTTTTAGGACAGGAAGAACATAAAGAGGATCCAAAAGGACTACCTATGTTATAGAACTTACAACTGTTACATCTGCTGAGATTTTCACAGCAGTCTTAAATTCCCCTTGGATAATATTACTTCAACAACTGTTTGGTTGGAGTTCCATTTTAACAAAAATAAGTCATTTTCACATCAAAAAGACATCCTGACCTGGGGCATGCTAATCTGCAACCTAAACCTGACTGAGCATCTGAAGTGTAACATACTAGTGTGAAATTGTTCCTGTGTAATCATCCCCAAAGTGTTATATAGAAAAACTTACTTCGCTCTACCCAGCTATCTTCCTGCATCTGTTCATCATCAGAATCTTCACTGCTGGAGTCACTTGATTCTTTCCTACTTTTTTTGCTTCTCTCTTTCTTTGATTTCTTCCTGTAGGGAACATTGGGAAAAATATATCCAAGTATGTGAGTAAGTTCTACACCAATAAAGTAAACAAATCTCACAGATGTCAAAGTAGTGCTGATGTCTACTAGCTGCTTGTTTAATGTGTAAGCCAGTATCCTCATTAATTTCTGTGTTTGACATCAACAAACTGGAGGTGTAGGCTGCTTTAGGGGATTTCAAGAAAGCTGACGAAAGACAGTTGAAAGCATTGAAAATTCTTGGAAAAAGTTTGCTGTAGACACTGCTCTTCACATTAGTGCTTGTAAGCAGAAGCCTGTGTAAACAATGCTGCAATTACTGACTTTCTTCTGAAAATAAAAGTTGCCTAGTTGCTATGTTATTCCACGATCTTCAAATGCATTTTGAGTCACTGACTAACTTGTTCCATGTCAGTGCTTCAATGAGTATGGAAGAAATAGATCTAGCATTTTCAGGGATTTTCAATGGGCTTTCTACAAGCTGCCCTCATGCCAGCCTGCTTGAAGCCACAGATCAGTTGTTACATGGTAATTATCAAGCAGTGGTCAACTTGTACTGAAGTCCATCAATAAGTAAAACTGGCTGGGATCCCTGGATCACACACTATTTGCCTCTGGTCTTTGACCGTATACTCCATACCATCTAAGCATTCTTAGTGGGGATACACCGAAACATTGGTAGCCAAAATGTATTGGCCGAAAATAGTGTTATAGGCATTTTGTCAATAGGAAGTGATGGACTTCCTTTGATGGCTAACAGGAGCCTTAATGGTGTAGCGGTGTACCTGTGGACAGCATTTGGAGCAGCAGGTTGAGCACTTTTGTTTTGTGCCATACAGGGGCAGACTGACCATTCAGGCACTTGGGCACTGCCCGAGGTCAGTAGGGGGCCCCATGAAATGCCCCGGTACCTTTTTTATAGGCTTTTTGAGTGTGGACAAGGACACAGGGGCCCCATGATCCCCTATTGCCCGGGGGTCCCATGAGTTGTCAGTCAGTCCACCCCTGGTGCCATAACTTATAGCAAAGATCTGTAATAAGCTAGAGATCAAGAAAAAACATGTCTATGGCACGTGTGGCAGACAAAAATCACTAAAGGGCTCCTGTGCAAGTTATTCACAATTAGATAGACTTATGATTTGTGATACCCCACACACCTAGTTAATATGCAAATATTTTTAGACAGCAAATAGTCCTTTACTTCAAGTCCAAATGAGACAAACATTCCTTATACCTCAGTGCTGGCCACACAATTATAAAACAGGCCAGGTTCATGAACACAGACACCCACATAGAAAATGTGATCCAAGGAAAGGGGGTGTGATAATGTCTAAATGCTATTCTGACAAAGACCATGTAACACCCCAGTGCAGCTGTGCTCAAATGACAGCAACCAAAAAAGCCCAGAGAAGTTGATTGGGGAGTATAATAGATTACATTATGATTTAGTAGAACTTTAGGTTATATACAGATATTACCTTAACTGCCATGGAATAGACTATGTCTGTGCAACGTATGTACTCTAGATTGCCGATTTGTTTAAGAACCACTTGAGAAAACGTTTCAAAAGTAAATTCTGCCTTGATTAGCCCTGACTAGGTGGTTACACTCTCATAACTGCTATACCCCTGTCCACCTAGTGTGCCAATTGTAGTCAGATGGGCAATCTCACTGGACAATGGAATGCCAGAGCAAAGAATGTAGCCTTCCCTGGAAACAAAGGAAATAAAATCAAAGAGCAACACATAAAAGGAAAACATACAGCTGAAGTGCTTATTTCTAGGCAGCACTTTGAAAAAAGAAAAAACCACTTACTTTCGATGTTTTTTCTTCTTTTTCTTGGATTTCTTTTTTTTCCTCTCATCTGCAAAAAAATAAAAGAGAAACAGTTTTCAAAATACAGGATTTACTTTTAAAACGAAAAAATCTTGAATATAATAAATTTACGAAATAAATGCTACAAGTCCAGGATTGTTTGCTGCTTTTTATTCAAGTACCGAAATTCTCTTTGTTAAAAACCCGCTGAATTTTTTAGCTAAAAGCATTGAATCAGCCATTTGCAGCAGTTACAAGTAAAAGTGCTGTGTAGGAGCAGCCAGATGCCTGCTGTCAGTTCTGCCAGCCAAAAAACTCTCGTCTCTTGCACAAGGGGGGAAATCATCATTCGAACTTTCTCAGAAGCGGAACTTGCATATTACAGCATACTTGATTTTAAAGCAGCTCTATTGTTAGAATAAAACCTTGAAAAAAGACAGTTAAAAAAAAAAAATACTTACCTGATCTGCTGCCATGCTGCTAATCTCCACTCTTGTTGAAAGATACTCAACATCTGACACTTCTGGGAGCATTGGATGCCTAATCTCTCACAGAATAATGTGGGTTGTTCTGCTAGCCCCTAAGTCACTATACTTTGTTCTGTAGGGCCTGACAGATCAACCAGCAGTGCCAAGCAGGAACCAGCCATTCAATACACCGAGAAGTGTGTCAGATGCTGAAGATTCAACAGTAAGATTTAGATCTTTAAGAAAGTTAAAAATTAGCTGTGTGTGGGTGGCAGGACAGGCGGGCTGATCTTGCTAACAAATTATTATTCTAGCAACAGAGCTTCTTTAAGGCTCCCTGAATATTCACGTGGCTAATGTAAGGTATGAGCATGCATTCAGATTAAAACTTAAAAAAAAAAGAAGTACGAAACATTTGGGCATGGAGGTTTTGGTCATGAAAACAAATGTGAAAGCCAGCACCCATGTAATCCTCAACACTTTTCCTGACAATACCACTTACTACTATATCCCACCTTAGCTTTACTACCTATCCCTTAAAATGTATTCCTAACACCTAACATTTTATATATTACTTCCATTTATTTAGTTCAACACACAATATGGATAGATTATTAATTACCGCTGCTTTCAGACTCGGAGTCACTCTCACTTTCGTCAGAGTTCTTTTTACTTTTCTTTTTTGCTGACTTTTTCTTTTTTTTCTTTTTCTTTTTTTTCTTCTTTTCTTCTACAAAAGCATATTTAAGGAAAATGTAACCAAACCAGATAAACGGGATTGTTTTACACATTGAATAATAAAGCAAAGGGGAACATGTTTATGTATATACCTTCTGAAGCAGAAGAATCAGAACTATTGGTTTTTTTAGATTTTTCTTCATCTTCTACAGGCGTGTGTTCATCTGAGCTAAAAAAAAAAAAAAAAAAAAAAATACATGATAGAGTACAAGAATGATTTCCATGATCATTATCAGCAACTAAACAAGAAAGCAGATCCAGATATAAACTTACTCAGGTTCTGGAACTTTGGGTGAAAAGCCCCAAACTTCTGGAGCTCCCAACTCCCCAATCCTTTCCCTTTCATTTAAACGCCTAAGTGTAAAACACAAATTAAATACAAATTTAGGATGAATGATGCATGTTTCAAATATATTACACACTGTACTACATATAAACAATATTACAGAGTGTTCTAAAGTGCATGCAAACTCTAACAATGATCTTTATTTAATTTGATCCTATTTGGTTTGTTAAATGTACCACTGAAATGGTTTTGAGATAGAGATTATATATATATAGATATATATATATATATATATATATACACACATACATACACACACACACATCAGGTCCATAAATATTGGGACATCGACACAATTCTAAACATTTTTATGCTTTATACACTACACAATGGATTTGAAATGAAACGAACAAGATGTTCTTTAACTGCAGACTGTCAGCTTTAAAATTTGGGGTATTTACATCCAAACAAGGTTCTAACGGTGTAGAAATTACAACAGTTTGCATATGTGCCTCCCACTTGTTAAAATGGCCAAAAGTAATGGGACAGATAATAATCATAGATCAAACTTTCACTTTTTAATACTTGGTTGCAAATCCTTTGCAGTCAATGACAGCCTGAAGTGTGGAACGCATAGACATCACAGACGTGGGTTTCATCCCTGGTGATGCTTAAGGCCTCTACTGCAATGTCTTCAGTTCCTGCTTGTTCTTGGGGCATTTTCCCTTCAGTTTTGTCTTCAGCATGTGAAATGCCCAATGCTCAATCGGATTCAGGTCAGGTGATTGACTTGGCCATTGCAGAACATTCCACTTCTTTCCCTTAAACTCTTTGGTTGCTTTTGCAGTCTGCTTTGGGTCATTGTCCATCTGCACTGTGAAGCGGCGTCCAATGAGTTGTGAAGCATTTTAGGCTGAATATGAGCAGATAATATTGCCAAAACACTTCAGAGATTCATCCCGCTGCTTCTGGCGTGCCAAAACAACTGAATGGAACATTCTTAAAAAGAAGGAACGCACCGGTGAGCTCAGCAACAATAAAAAGACCCGGAAGACCACGGAAAACAACTGTGGTGGAGGACCGAAGAATTCTTTCCCTGGTGAAGAAAACACCCTTCACAACAGTTGGCCAGATCAAGAACACTCTCCAAGAGGTAGGTGTATGTGTGTTAAAGTCACCAATCAAGAGAAGACTTCACCAGAGTGAATACAGAGGGTTCACCACAAGAAGTAAACCATTGGTGAGCCTCAAAAACAGGAAGGCCAGATTAGAGTTTGCCAAACGACATCTAATAAGCCTTCACAGTTCTGGAACAACATCCTATGGACAGATGAGACCAAGATCAACTTGTACCAGAGTGATGGGAAGAGAAGAGCATGGAGAAGGAAAGGAACTGCTCATGATCCTAAGCATACAACCTCATCAGTGAAGCATGGTGGTGGTAGTGTCATGGCGGTGGGCATGTATGGCTGCCAATGGAACTGCTTCTCTTGTATTTATTGATGATGTGACTGCTGACAAAAGCAGCAGGATGAATTCTGAAGTGTTTTGGGCAATATTATCTGCTCATATTCAGCCAAATGCTTCACAACTCATTGGACGCCGCTTCACAGTGCAGATGGACAATGACCCAAAACAGACTGCAAAAGCAACCAAAGAGTTTAAGGGAAAGAAGTGGAATGTTCTGCAATGGCCAAGTCAATCACCTGACCTGAATCTGATTGAGCATGCATTTCACTTGCTGAAGACAAAACTGAAGGGAAAATGCCCCAAGAACAAGCAGGAACTGAAGACAGTTGCAGTAGAGGCCTGGCAGAGCATCACCAGGGATGAAACCCAGCGTCTGGTGATGTCTATGCGTTCCACACTTCAGGCTGTCATTGACTGCAAAGGATTTGCAACCAAGTATCAAAAAGTGAAAGTTTGATTTATGATTATTATTCTGTCCCATTACTTTTGGCCCCTTAACAAGTGGGAGAGGCACATATGCAAACTGTTGTAATTCCTACACCGTTCACCTGATTTGGATGTAAATACCCTCAAATTAAAGCTGACAGTCTGCAGTTAAAGCACATCTTCTTTGTTTCATTTCAAATCCATTGTGGTGGTGTATAGATCCAAAAATGTTAAAATTGTGTCGATGTCCCAATATTTATGGACCTGACTGTATATATATATAATCCTGAAGTGTAAAAACACCTATTGATCCTGCCAGAAATGGAGACAACTCAGTACCACTCTCCCTATGTTATGGAAATAGAGAAAGGGGGGTGTTCTGCAGTCCTGTTCTAGGGTGACAGTCCTGTTCTAGGGTGATACATACACACAGCACAGTGAGCTAGAGTTGCCATCTTAGAACAGGAAGTGTGTTACTGGTGTCAGGGCTCCGGGTATGACCAGAGGTGTGTGGATTGACACAGGGAAACGCAGGCTTCAGGTATAGAGTAAACAAGACAATTTATTAAAGACTAAACAACACAAACGCAGTGCAAGGTAAACATAACACAGTGCAAACAACCCAACCTCCAACAGATAACCATACATAGAAATCAAACGTAGTCGGGCAGGCCGGGTCAGTAGCAAACGGGCAAACAGGGTACCAGGAGCAAGCGGAAGAGTGGTCAGGAATAGCCGAGGTCAGGACAGGCAGAGTTCGCTCAGAGTCAGGATCTAAGCAGAGTCAGGATCAGGCAGGAAGCAGACAGGATGCAGGTACAGGGGCTCATGGAAAACATACACCAAGGCACTGACTGCAGGTCTGGCCATTCCTTAAATACACCTCCTGCAATCAGCCATAGGTGATGGCTGATGGCAGGAGTGAGCTTCTAGTTGCTGAGAGCACCCGCTGGCCAGCCCTGGTACTGCAGCCCACACGGCAGGTGAGTCCCACCACCAGTGGTGAATCCATTCCTGACGGGTGTGGTCACATAGTGGAGAGCTCTGCAATACTTCCAGAAGGCTTGAAAAGCTGGGGGCTTGATTGTCCCAGCCAGCCCAGGGAGGATGTCGGGTCCTGGGCTTGGCCCTGCAGGTGGAGGGCCCCCTGAGGGGCTTAGTACCGGTCCCTGCATACCACCTATAGAGGACTTGGGAACGGCCCCCAAGAAGGCGGAAGGTTGTGCGGAATACAGGGACCATGTGGTCGCCCGGATTAGGACGGTGGAGAAGGAGGAGACCAAATTGGTCAAATTAAATTTGGAGCTTAAAAAGCTACGCTCCAGTTATGACCGTGTGTGGAGCACCAAGAGACAGGCGATGAAGCCTGGCCTGGAGGCCTTAGAGCAGAGGGTCTCTCTGCAAGCAAAGTATGTGGCGGCACTTAAAAAGAAATGTGGAGCTTTGAAGGAGAAGTTCACTAATGATAGCCGCTTCAAAGCTCCAAGAAACAGGAGCGTTGCGGAGGCAAGAGGTCCTGTGGATATGGTCTCCTCTATGGAGGAGTCATCTGATGAGCCAGTGACGGGAGGTGAGCCAGTGATGGAAGGTGAACCGGTGACCGGGGGTGAGCCGGTGACTGGAGGTGTGCCGGCGCAGGAGCTGGCTGAGCTCGCTGCACCAAGTTTGGAAATGGCGCCGCCAGAAATGGAGGACGCCAAGGCCGTGGGTGGTTCGGACTCCCTCCCCCTTGGGCAGCTGAGCGCAGATTGGGGATCGCGTGTGGAGGAGGCGGAGTCAGCTGGGGAGTTGCGCTTTGTCCAGGAAGAGGAGCTGGAGTTGAGAGGTGACCGTTTCCGCTTCACCTCGGAGGATACATCACAGAAGCCGGCCAAGCCGGTGCGGAAGGAGCGCACTGTGTTCGTGCAGCTAAAGAGGATCCCGAGCTCCTTGGGGAGCTCCGTTCTGGTAAAGGACGGTATGCCGGTGACCGGGGAAGTGCTGCAGGACTCTGTAAAAACGGGCAGCAAGGAGGTAAAATACATCTCCGGTGGGGAGTTGCGCTCTGTCCAGGAAGAGGAGCTGGAGTTGAGAGGTGACCGTTTCCGCTTCACCTCGGAGGATTCCTGAAGTGAGGAGGAGGATACATCACAGAAGCCGGCCAAGCCGGTGCGGAAGGAGCACACTGTGTTCGTGCAGCTAAAAAAGGATCCCGAGCTCCTTGGGGAGCTCCGTTCTGGTAAAGGACGGTATGCCGGTGACCGGGGAAGTGCTGCAGGACTCTGTAAAAAAAACGGGCAGCAAGGAGTTAAAGGACATCTCCGGTGGTAAGACATCGAACCGGTGGTGTAGGCTCCTCCTGTGGGGCAAGGGGTGGTTTGTGTGGGTCTCTGTGTCCCGTTAGGTCCTGCCCCTCCGAAGGTGGGGGCTACCCTTGCTGGGAAACTATTGCTCCTGGCGCTCCAGCTGAGGTTCTGTCGCCGCAAATCCAGGTGCCCATATGTCAGGCACTGCAGAGTCCCCCTTTGGTGGGTTCAGACCCCTGAGTTCAGGTCACTTCAGCCCCTGCTTTGGCGGGCTCTGGTGGGGATGGTCCGGGTGTTCGGGCTCAGGGTCCTTTGGGTCCTGCACCGCTAGTCCCCCTCTCTGGTGGCCCTGCTCTATCTTGCCCTGTTCCCCCGTGTCCCACTGATCCAGTCTAGGCCCCCCCTGGTCCAGTTCCCCCTGAGGCAGGTGCCTCTGTGCCCAAGCCTGTCATCAGCTACTCAACAGCAGTGAGGGGTGGGCAAGGATCAGTTAGGCCACTTATGGCACGGGCAGGTAACCTGCCAACCTCTGCGACCAGGAGAAATGTTGTGCACCTTAAATGGTCGGGGGAGGGACCCCCTTTAAGCAGAAGAGAGGTAATAGACAGCATCCTGGAGATGGGGTTCAGGGCGGCAGATATTTTTGCTTTTATTGCCCCTGTGGGTACAGGGTAGTACGATGTCTCGTTCGTGAGGCCAGAGCAACTGGATCTCTTTTGGCAACGCTATGAGGCAATTTATGTCCATAGTCCTAGGTGGGTGGGGTTGTCCCCCAAATTACTATCTAGGCAGAATGTCATTAAAAAGGTCACCATACTTGTGAGGAATGAGTCCATCCCCCCATCAGATATTGTAGTGTGGCTGGTGAGGTATGGGGATGTTATGGG